AAAAGAAAACTACAGGCCAATATCCCTGATGAACACGGATGCGAAGATTCTCAACAAAATACTAGCCAATAGAATACAACAACTCATCAAAAAGATCATACATCATGACCAAGTGGGATTCATCCCAGGGATGCAAGGATGGTTCAACATTCGGAAATCAATCAACATAATCCATCATATCAACAAAAGAAAAGATAAAAATCATATGATCATATCAATAGACGCAGAGAAAGCTTTTGACAAGATCCAGCACCCATTCATGATGAAAACCCTTGCCAAAATGGGGATTGAGGGGACTTTCCTCAATATAGTTAAAGCCATCTACCACAAACCTACAGCAAACATCATCCTCAATGGGGAAAAACTGAGACCCTTCCCCCTAAGGTCAGGGACGAGACAAGGATGCCCACTCTCTCCACTACTGTTCAATATATTACTGGAAGTACTTGCAATAGCGATTAGGCAAGAAAAAGATATTAAGGGCATCCAGATAGGGAAAGAAGAAATTAAGCTCTCACTATTCGCAGATGACATGATACTATACTAGAGAACCCTAAAACCTCTACCAAGAAACTCCTAGAAACAATAGGCTTGTATAGTAAAGTGGCAGGCTATAAAATCAATACCCAAAAACCCATGGCATTCCCATACGCAAATAGTGAAAGAGAAGCAAGTGACATCAAAAAAACAATCCCATTCACAATTGTGCCCCAGAAAATCAAGTATCTAGGAATCAGCTTAACTAAGGAAGTAAAGGACCTGTACAAAGAAAACTACAAAACGCTACTTCAGGAAATAAAAGAGGACACGAGGAAATGAAAAAATATCCCCTGTTCATGGATGGGGAGAATCAACATCATCAAAATGGCAATACTTCCCAAAGCACTGTACAAATTCAATGCAATCCTATAAGGATACCCATGACATTCTTCAAAGAAATGGAGCAAACACTCCTGAAATTTATATGGAACAATAAGCCCCCACGAATAGCTAAAGCAATTCTTGGGAAAAAGAAAATGGGAGGAATCAACCTCCCTAACTTCAAACTCTACTACAAGGCAGTAATAATTAAAACAGCATGGTACTGGAACAAAAGCAGAGCTGCAGACCAATGGAACAAACAGAGTTGAATATACTGACATTTCCTCCCAAACATATAGTCATCTAATTTTTGATAAGGGGGCAAGAAAAGTGAAATGGAGCAGGGAAAGCCTCTTCAACAAACTGTGCTGGCAAAATTGGACGGCTACATGCAAAAAAGTGGGCTCAGATCTCTGCCTAACACCATGCACAAAAGTAAGATCAAAATGGATTTATGACCTCAACATCAGACCAGAATCCATGTTTATTGAAGACAAAGTCGGCAAAACTCTCCATGATATTGAAGCTAATAGTATCTTCAAAGATGTCACGCCACTGGCCGAGCAAGTGAAAACAGAGATAGACAAATGGGACTATCTTAAACTAAGAAGCTTCTGCACCTCAAAAGAAACATTGACCAAAATACAAAGACAGCCTACAGAATGGGAAAGGATATTCACCAAGTACACATCCGACAAGGGGTTGATATCAAGGATATACAAGGTACTGGTTAAACTCCACAAGAAGAAATCACCCAACCCCATCAAAAAATGGGGTGAGGAAATGAACAGAAACTTTCGCAAAGAAGAAATTCGAATGGCAAAAAGGCACATGAGAAAATGCTCTACATCACTAATCATCAGAGAGATGCAGATCAAAACCACAATGAGATATCATTTCACACCACAGAGACTGGCCCACATCCACAAGAACAAAAGCAACCGGTGCTGGCGTGGATGTGGCGAGAAAGGGACCCTCCTTCACTGCTGGTGGGAATGCCGGCTGGTCCAACCCTTTTGGAAAACAGTATGGACGACTCTCAAAAAATTAGAATTTGATCTGCCATTTGACCCAGCTATAGCACTCCTGGGAATATATCCCAGAGAGGCAAAAAGGTATAGTCGAAGTGACATCTGCAATTGTTTGTTCATTGCAGCACTCTTTACAATAGCCAGAATCTGGAAAAAACCTGAGTGCCCAAGAACAGATGACTGATTAAAGAAACTTTGGTACATTTACACAATGGAGTACTATGTAGCTGTTAGAAAAGATGAAGTTATGAAATTTACATACAAGTGGTACTACATGGAAAGTATCATGTTAAGCGAAATGAGTCATAAAGAGCGGGATAGACACAGAAAGATTGCATTCATCTGGGGAACATAAAGCAACAAAAAGGGAGACTATCACCCAGGAATGGCTGAGATTAGTACCAGGAATTTTGATCCATGAATGGAAGGCCAGCCACAGGCTCTAGGTGAAAAGGAAGCTCAGATAGAGAAGAGAGTACCAAATGAAGGGTGTTGTGAGGGTCCTCCCAGGGTGGGAGAAGCATGCTAAAAGTAGTCGAGAGACCAAACATGATTGCCACTCAAAGCCTCTCTTGCAAAACACAGTACCCAAAAGAAGAGAGAGAGAACAAGGGGGAATACCCAGCCACAGAGGCAAGATGGGACGGGGTGGGGGGATGAGGGGGGGGATGCTGGGACCCATGGGGATGGATGACGGGCACCGGTGGAGGGATGGACACTTGATCATTGTATAACTGAAACCCAAGCACAAAATTTGTAAGCCTATAACTGTACCTCATGGTTTTTCACTAATAAAAAATAAATAAATAAATAAATAAATATAAAAAGAAAAAAAATAAATAAACAAGTGGTTGGTAACAATTATACATTCTCTGCATGTGTCTCCTCTGCTTTCTCCCCCTTTTCTTCGTTGCTGTTGTGATTGCTCTAAGGCCCTGTGTCTCATACACTTTGGTTGCAGTGCTTACACGCAGTTGGTTATGGCACACTGGAGATCGCAGACTTTGTTGTGGTGCCAACGATCACAAACTGCAGTGCTGCTGGGATTACGCTCGGCAGCATGGGGGTGGCACTAGGGACCTCCAGGTTCTGTCTCAGACCCTCAAGAAAGGCTCTGAGTCGCATCTCTGGGCCCCATCTGCTTTCCTCGCCGGGGTCCCTTGGAACAGCCAGGCGCAGGGGCAGGAGACTCATTGGGTCTCATTCTCCTAAAGAGCCTTGAATATAATCTCAGGGCTAGGATGAAAGAGACGTTACTGGGGCCTGCTCGAGGAAATCGACAAATAACAGGATGATGAATGAATGAATGAAAAAGAAATAACTCATTCTACAATGTTTTGGTCCTACCTTCCCTGTAAATTTAATTGGGAAATAAGTAATTTGTAATGTAGTCCGTAATATACTTTAGGATGGTGGAATGTGGTTTCACTTCAATTCCTGCTGATATTTAAAATATTGGTGGCATCCTACTTTTACTATTTACTAAAGAAAAAAACTATTTTAAAATAAACACAATGTATATCATACAAAATCATTCAGAAGCTAGATTGTTGGGGCTGGGAGCCCTTGATAAACAGAATTCCTTTTCTTTTTTTTTTTTTTTGAGGGGCACCTTTGGTACCCAGAGGGCCGCACCCAGTGATCATTGGCCAACCAGGCCTTTTTTGTTGTACCTTGTTTTGGGGGGAGTGTGGGGAGGCCATACCCAAGAGTGCTTGGGGCTTACTCATGTATGTATTTGCACTTAAGGGTCACTCCTGATAGTATTCTGGGAACCACAGTGGTCCCGGGGATTGAACTTGTGTTGGCCATACGCAAGACAAGTGACTTCCCTGTATTGTCCCCCTGCCCTGGCCAACAAGATGCAGTAGCCCAAGAGTATAGCACTACTCGAGGGGCCAAAGACTACCAGGACCACCCAGCAATACCAGGACCACACTTGGTATTGGGGGCTTCAAAGGCTGTACCTGACAATGCCAAGGGAATAAGGGATGCATTTTACAAATGTTCCTTCTCCGAGAATCCCATCACACCCCATCTAGATCTAGTCTTTCCGGAATACATGACCTGCACTTAAAATTTTGCAGCTCAGGGCCAGAGAGATAATATAATGGGTAAGGTACTTTCCTTGCATGCAGCCAACCCGTTTCGATCCCCAGCATCTCGTATGTTCCTCTGAGCACTGACAGGAGCAATTCCTCGGTGACGATCCAGGGGTAATTCCTGAGCATCACCAAGTGTGATAACCCCCTCACTCCCCCCAAAAGAAATTTTTATGAGGGCTAGGCAGAGAGCTCAGAGATGGAATGCACAGAGCCTGGGTTTAATTGCTCTGGTACCACATGGGCCCAAGATTAAGAACAATCTGATAAATCTCTCTAAATACTTTAAGTGGGGTTTAGGAGTAGAATATATCCTATGACGAAGAAAATGGGCTAGAGATTATACAGCACAGGGAGGTTTAGTTATCAATTTGGTCTTTACTGTTAGGCTGTCATGGCCTTTGCAAAAGTCCTCTAGCTTTATGGGCTGGAATGAGAGTAAGTTAGGGTGCCTGCTTTGCTGGGTTCAATCCTCATACTATATATGGTCCACTGAGCCAAGCCAGGAGTGATCCTTGAGCACAGAACCAGAAATAAACCCTGAGCACTTCTAAGTATGACTAAAGAAAAATGAAAAGGATCCTCTAGTTTTTTTTTAAATTTGTGTTATTAAAGAAGTTTTGAGGGCTAGAGCAATAGTATAGTGGATAGGGTGTATGTCTTGCATGTGGCCAACCCAGGTTTGATCCCCTACCCGGTATGGTCCCCTGAGCACTGCCAGGAGTAATTCCTGATGCAGAGCCAGGAGTAACCTCTGAGCATTTCCAGGTGTGGCCAAAAACAAAAAATCAGGCTGGAAAGTTACCAGCCTTTCCTGAATTTCTGAAGATGTTAGAGGGGACAAAGGAGAATTAGGTGGTCATTGAAGAAGTCTTGAGTAGAAGATTTGTTTAATCTACCCAAGTTGTGATTTTTATGTTCTTTGGGGTTTTTTTAAGGTTAAGTAATTCAATATAATATAATTTCTTGTTACAATGACTTGTTGCTTTAAATATTCTTACTTTAGGAAACACAGACCATGGATAGCAAACCTAGACCTGAGAGTTCAACAGATTCTGGCAGAGCTGACCCCCAGTCAACAAGTTTTGAAGTTTGTAGCAATGAAGTCGAGGTGCGTATATGGTGTCACGGTCCTTTACCCCCCTCTCCCCTTTTTTTGGCAGCACCAAGGATGGCAGTCCCAGGGCTTCCCCCAGGGCAGTGCTCTCCACTGAGCCAAGGCCTCCACAATCCATTTTTATCCTCTACCTTTGGCCTTTAATTACTGAATAGAATTTGCAAGGTAATTTGTCAGTTGTTGTAAGTGTTATTATGTAGTTTAATATACAGTTATATGATCTCTTGGGTCTGGGAAAGTAATTAAGCTTTTCAGGAGTGTTGAAACTACTTTGGGAGAATAGATTACCAAATGGATATTATTCTTTCCAAAATATCACCTAAAATAGCAGCTGCATAAGTATAAACAAACTTGGGGAATCAAAAATATCTTTAGGGGGCTAGAGCGATATTATAGCTGGTAGGGCACTTGTCTTGCACGTGGCTGACCCCTCGGTTTAATCCCCTAGACAATTATGGGTCCCCTGAACTTGCTGGTAATGATTTTCTGAGTACAGAGCCAGGAGTAACCCCTGAACATTGCCAGATATGGTCCAAAATTTTAAAAAAAAAGTTATAAAAGATAAGATAGAGATGATTATTTTTTCTTATAAGAGATTTCTTTGGGGGGGGCGGGGGCTGGAGCGGGTAGGGCGTTTGCCTTGCACGCGGCTGACCCGGGCTCGATTCCCAGCAACCCATATGGTCCCCTGAGTACCGCCAGGAATAAATCCTGAGTGCAGAACCAGGAGTAAGTCCTGTGCATTGCTGGGTGTGACCCAAAAAAACGCCAAAAAAAAAGTTTTCTTTTGGTTGGGGGAGGAACGAGGGAGGGTCCATTCAGTGATGCAGTATCCAAGAGGCACTGCAGTGCATGACATCATGTCTGGGGCCCTCCAGATCTAAGAATACACTCTAGCCCTTTTATTTATTTCCCCAGCCTCTGCAGAAGCATTTTTTTTAACTTTTTTGGGTGATTATGGGGGGAGGGACTCGCAAGTGGAGTTCTAGAGCCAGTCCAGGTGATACTGTGCCAAGAAGGCCATTTGGTTGAATGGCTGGGGCCCTGTGTTACCAAGAACCATCAGAACCATCCCAACAGTGCTCGGTCATGCATGTGGTGCTGGGCTCAAACTGGGGTCAACATGTGCCCTAACCACTATTGTTATCTCCCTGTCCCTGAAATGTTTCTTTAATAAGCATTTTATTAAATTGTATGATTGGGTGGGGGATTGTTCTTGGGTTTAGGTTTGGTTTGGTTTGGTTTGGTTTGGTTTGGTTTGGTTTGGTTTAGGGAGGGGAAGTTTTGGAACACACTCAGCGAAGCTCAGGGGTTACTCCTGGTTCTGCATTCAGGAATTACTCCTGGTAGTGCTTGAGTAACCAGAAGGAATGCCAGAGATCAAACCCAGGTCAGCTTCATGCAAGGCCTTACCTGCTGTACTATCACTCTGGCCCAAAATTGTATTGATTTTTAATGATATACAATAATTTTGTCACTGAATCTCAGTAATTCACAATGAGATTCCTTAATTTTCAGTGGACTTTAGATTTCTGTGTATCATTTTGAGAAATAAATAAAGAAATTTTCTAATTGTCTGATAGTAGATAAAAATTTTATTCACCCCAAGTTTTGAAGATAAAATTAATACTTCATATGTATCTTTGAGCACATTTATTGGTAGCACTCAGTATTGAACCTTGCTGATCTGCTGCTATATAGATAGTATGTACAGGCATAGATCTAGAGGTCGTATAGGGACTTCAAAGAAGACATGATTGCCGTTCTCGAGGAATAAGGAATCTGGTAAGACTTTATGTGCTCACTATGTTTGTTTTTGTGCTCGCTAAGAGTTTATGTGCTCACTATCAAGGCAAAGGTGCCACAGGGGGAGTTGGAGAGATAATACATGGGTGAGCTACTCACCTGGCACACAGCTGACTCCAGTTTGATCCCCAGCACTGCAGAAGATGCCCCTGAGCACTACCAGATGTGATTCCTGAGTACCACCGGTGTGGCACCAACGGCTTACTCCCGGCTCTGCCATTGACGTCATTCTGGGTGGGGGCCCTTTTCAGTTCTTTGTCTTTTATCAGTACTTATGAGAGTTGATGTCAATTCATACATGGCAAATAAAGTTTTTGTTGTAGGATGGATCTGGTGTCATTGACTCTTGTGAAGTGTCAACAGAAAATAATCCAACAACTCGATTTCCAAAACCCGAGTTAGAGATTCAGTTTACCCCCTTAAGGCCAAATGTAATGGCAGTGAAACACCCCGGCTGCTCCTCACCAGTGACAGTTAGGATTCCCAAGGCCCGGAAGAGGAAAAGTAGTGAAATAGAGGAGGCGAACTTCTTTTTTTTTTAAAGACACTGTATTTACAATATTGATACTGGAAGGGTTTCATGCAAAAACCACTCCAATGCTACACCCTACACCAGAGTGTCATCTTCCCTTGGCTGTATCCCAGAACCCACCTGCTCTTCCACCCGATCCCCTCTGCAGTGGTGTGCTTCCTGTTAAAGACCAGTTCTAAGTTTCTATTGTCTTTGAGTATTTTTGTTTCTTTACTACATTACTTTATATAAATAGGTGAGGGAGATTATTCTGTGCTTATCCCTCTGCTTCTGAGTAACTTCATTCACCATGATACATCCAAATATTGGAGATATTTATTTAATATTTAATGGGTAAGTGAATTACTAAATTCTGCTCTTACAGAACAGAGTAGCATTTATGGTATAATTTATATTTTATACTCTGTAAGAATATTATCGCAGGGCTAGAGTGATAGTACAGCAGGTCGGCATTTGCCTTGCATATGACTGATCCGTATTCAATTCCTGGCGTCCCATCTGGTCACCCTCAGAGCAGTACATCTAGGGTTCACTCCCAGCAGTGTTCAGGGAACCACAGGGGCTGCTGGGTATTGAATCCAGGTCTGCTGCATGCAGGGCAAGTGCCCTACCCACTGTACTACTACTCTGGCACCAGATATATTAACTTTATTGAAAATCATACCTGTAAAAATTTTGTAGAAGATTCTTTCAATACTGATTCTAAAACCACAATATTCTACTGTGTTGAATTTAATAATAGATAGCTTAAAATAATCACTGAAATACATATCATTTTTATAGCAACAAGCATATAACTTAGAAAGTAGAAAGAATAATTATATTACAATTAAAAAACAATTTTCATGGGGCTAGAGCAATAGCACAGCAGGCAGAGAGCCTGCTTTGCACACAGCTGACCTGGGTTCAATTCCGGGCATCTCATATGATCCTCTGAGTAATTCTTGTGTGTAGAGCCAGGAGCAATCCCTTACCATCACCAAATGAGATTGCCCTCAGCGTTGCGGGATCTTGAGCAGCCTTTCTGGCCTCTGCCCGTTCTGTCTAGTCACATCTCTGATCTCTCAGGCAGGGGCAATGCTGTCTCTGTGGTTTGTGGACATAGCCAGGATCCCTGGGATCAGATCACCTGGTTAAGATCTCAGTTTTTTAAGTGTAGAGAAAAAATATTTTAAAGAAATTAACCATTGGTGAAACTTATTATTTTTAGAATTTGGTGAGGGTTGGAGCGATAGCATAGCGGTAGGGCGTTTGCCTTGCACGCAGCCAGCATGGCCGATTCAAGTTCGATTCCTCCGCCCCTCTCGGAGAGCCCGGCAAGCTACCGAGAGTATCTCACCTGCACGGCAGAGCCTGGCAAGCTCCCCGTGACCTATTCGATATGCCAGACACAGTAACAACAAAGTCTCCAATGGAGACGTTACTGGGCCCGCTCGAGCAAATCGATGATCAACGGGAGGGCCTTTTTACTTAGAATTTGGTGAAATGTGAAAATAAGAAGAATGCTACACCCAGAACCAATCCGAAATCCCCTTTTCCAGAGTGCAGAAATTCTCCCAAAAAGGAACAACAGGTTTGTCTTTTGATTTGTCCCATATTAGCTCTTTCCACAACTGTAACTAGAAGATAAAAATAAAGATGTCAGAATTGATTAGTATTGGAGCCAGAGAGATAGGACAGCGGGTAAGGCTCTTGCTTTGCACATGGCCAACCTGGGTTCAAACCCCAGCATCCCGTATGGTTCCCTGAGTACCACCAGGATGGATTCCTTAGTGCAGAGCCAGGAGTAACCTCTGAGCATTGTCCGGTGTGACCGTCTCCCCATCCCTTCACAACCTCCCCCCCCAAAATTGATTAGTATTACCAGTTTTACTCAACATAATTCATTTAGCATCTCTTTCTCGTTCATTCATTCATCTTGGAATAGAAACATCAGCATTTGCCACAACTCGATGTGTTTATTTCTGCATTAGCCCTCTGCCTGGCACAGTACTTTGCCATCTTCTGGCCCTTTCATCCTGTTCTTCACATACTTAATAAAATAAGTTCTTTGCCTTAGGCTTCATAACCTGTGTCTGCCGTCTTCTTATGTTGTTTTGATTTGGTTTGGTTTGGTTTCAAAGCCACACCAACTGTGCTTAGGCCTTACTCCTGGAAGGGATCAGGGGACTGTATGTGGTACGGGGATTGGGGGTGGGGGGGATCAAACCCAGGTCAGTGCAGGCAAGTGCCTTATCTGCTGTACTATCTCTTCAGCCCTTTGTCTGCCACCTTTTTTTTTCTTTCTTTTTGGGTCACACCTGGCGATGCACAGGGGTTACTCCTAGCTCTGCACTCAGGAATTACACCTGGCGGTTCTCAGGGGACCATATGGGATGCTGGGAATCGAACCTGGATTGGCTGCAGGCACAGCAAACGCCCTACCCGCTGTGCTATTGTTCTGCTCCCCCACCCCCACCCCCACCGTGCTTGTCTTCTTAGCTGTGTTTACGAGTATTTATTTCTGACATTACTCAGCAACAATAACAAAACACGTTTGTCTATTAGGTTTCCACACAACTTCCATCTAAGAAAACTTATTCTTTACAAATTCAAGCCTACGATGTTAGTATTAGCTTGACTACTAAGGAAAAAGAAGAAACGTTGGCCATCTTTGAAGCGTTCAGAATAAGAGAAGGAACACATGGAGGGTGCGGGATCCCGGAGGAAAAGAAAAAAGAAAAAACAGGTTCCAAAAAGAGCCGAGAGCACCGGCAAGTTCCAGATGGAGTAGGCGCCGCATCCCGCCTCCCCCAGATGGAACCCCGGTGACCAGAAGCCTCTACAAACACAGCTCGAGTATGCGGGAACGAGGACTTTTTCTCTATATACAAAGTGATCAATGAGAAGTAAACCACCCAATCTTTCTCCCTGAAAATCAGAGTTAAGTTTGGAGCATGGCCACAGCCCCAGAAACACAAGGACTTAATGCAGAAACCAGCAGCTTAGAGCAGAAAAGTGAACGGACGATGAGTTAACCCAGGCCATCATTTCTGCCCAGAGGGGAAAGGGTGTTGCCCCATTCGCCCTCTCTTCTCTGGAAAGAAGGATGGCGGCCGCATGGGAGCCATGTGGACAGCAGGTATGAGCCAGGGGTGTGGGGGCGACTAAAACCTCATGGGAAGGGGGGCGTTCCGGTTCGTCCTTCACGCCCTACCGAGGTCACCAGTTGCCCCCCACGAGCGGCTCTCCAGCACGGCCACAGCCCCAGAAGCACAAGGGCTTAATGCAGAAGCCAGCAGCTTGGAGCAGAAAAGTGAAAGGACTATGCGTAAATCCAGGCAATCACTTCTGCCCAGAGGGGAAAGGGTGTTGCTCCCTTCCGCCCTCCTCCCTCTGGAAAGAAAGATGGCGGCCACATGGGAGCCTTGTGGACAGCAGGTATGAGCCGGGGGTGTGGGGGCGACTAAAACCTCATGGGAAGAGGGGCGTTCTGGTCCGTCCTTCACGCCCTACCGAGGTCACCAGTTGCCCCCCACGAGTGGCTCTCCAGCACGGCCACAGCCCCAGAAGCACAAGGGCTTAATGCAGAACCCAGCAGCTTGGAGCAGAAAAGTGAAAGGACTATGCGTTAATCCAGGCAATCATTTCTGCCCAGAGGGGAAAGGGTGTTGCTCCCTTCCGCCCTCCTCCCTCTGGAAAGAAAGATGGCGGCCACATGGGAGCCTTGTGGACAGCAGGTATGAGCCGGGAGTGTGGGGGCGACTAAAACCTCATGGGAAGGGGAGCGTTCCAGTCCGTCCTTCACGCCCTACCGAGGTCACCAGTCACCCCTCACGAGTGGCTCTCCAGCACGGCCACGGCCCCAGAAGCACAAGGACTTAATGCAGAACCCAGCAGCTTGGAGCAGAAAAGTGAACGGACTATGCGTTGATCCAGCCCATCAAGTCTGCCGGAGGGGAAAGGGTGTTGCCCCATTCGCCCTCTCCTCTCTGGAAAGAAAGATGGCGGCCACATGGGAGCCTTGTGGACAGCAGGTATGAGCCGGGAGTGTGGGGGCGACTAAAACCTCATGGGAAGGGGGGCGTTCCGGTCCGTCCTTCACGCCCTACCGAGGTCACCAGTTGCCTCCCACGAGCGGCTCTCCAGCACGGCCACAGCCCCAGAAGCACAAGGGCTTAATGCAGAACCCAGCAGCTTGGAGCAGAAAAGTGAAAGGACTATGCGTTAATCCAGGCAATCATTTCTGCCCAGAGGGGAAAGGGTGTTGCTCCCTTCCGCCCTCCTCCCTCTGGAAAGAAAGATGGCGGCCACATGGGGGCCTTGTAGACAGCAGGTATGAGCCGGGGGTGTGGGGGCGACTAAAACCTCATGGGAAGGGGGGGCGTTCTGGTCCGTCCTTCACGCCCTACCGAGGTCACCAGTTGCCCCCCACGAGCGGTTCTCCAGCACAGCCACGGCCCCAGAAGCACAAGGACTTAATGCAGAACCCAGCAGCTTGGAGCAGAAAAGTGAACGGACTATGCATTGATCCAGCCCATCAAGTCTGCCGGAGGGGAAAGGGTGTTGCCCCATTCGCCCTCTCCTCTCTGGAAAGAAAGATGGCGGCCACATGGGAGCCTTGTGGACAGCAGGTATGAGCGGGAGGGTGGGGGCGACTAAAACCTCATGGGAAGGGGGGCGTTCCGGTCCGTCCTTCACGCCCTACCGAGGCCGCCAGTTGCCCCCCACGAGCGGCTCTCCAGCACGGCCACAGCCCCAGAAGCACAAGGGCTTAATGCAGAACCCAGCAGCTTGGAGCAAAAAAGTGAACGGACTATGCATTGATCCAGCCCATCAAGTCTGCCGGAGGGGAAAGGGTGTTGCCCTATTCGTCCTCTCCTCTCTGGAAAGAAAGATGGCGGCCACATGGGAGCCTTGTGGACAGCAGGTATGAGCCGGGAGTGTGGGGGCGACTAAAACCTCATGGGAAGGGGGGCGTTTCGGTCCGCCCTTCACGCCCTACCGAGGCCGCCAGTTGCCCCCATGAGCGGCTCTCCAGCACGGCCACAGCCCCAGAAGCACAAGGACCTAATGCAGAACCCAGCAGCTTGGAGCAGAAAAGTGAAAGGACTATGCGTTAATCCAGGCAATCATTTCTGCCCAGAGGGGAAAGGGTGTTGCTCCCTTCCGCCCTCCTCCCTCTGGAAAGAAAGATGGCGGCCACATGGGAGCCTTGTGGACAGCAGGTATGAGCCGGGGGTGTGGGGGCGACTAAAACCTCATGGGAAGAGGGGCGTTCTGGTCCGTCCTTCACGCCCTACCGAGGTCACCAGTTGCCCCCCACGAGCGGCTCTCCAGCACGGCCACGGCCCCAGAAGCACAAGGACTTAATGCAGAACCCAGCAGCTTGGAGCAGAAAAGTGAACGGACTATGCATTGATCCAGGCCATCAAGTCTGCCGGAGGGGAAATGGTGTTGCCCCATTCGCCCTCTCCTCTCTGGAAAGAAAGATGGCGGCCACATGGGAGCCTTTTGGACAGCAGGTATGAGCCGGGAGTGTGGGGGCGACTAAAACCTCATGGGAAGGGGGGCGTTTCGCTCCGCCCTTCACGCCCTACCGAGGCCACCGGTTGCCCCCCGCGAGCGGCTCTCCAGCACGGCCAGGACTCCAGAACACAGAAACCAATTTCTTAACTATCTGACTTTCAGTAGAAATACTTCCAGGGTCAATAGGTAAAAGAGCAGAAATCCAAAACCAACATTTAATTCTTGAACCCAGCCGTAGAAAGCAAATCACTTCACAATGCTTTTTCAGCATGTCTGATTTGGGGGGGGGGGGGGTAAACTCTAAATAATAGTGGTGAATCTTTTATTGAAACAATGAATCTAATCAAAGCAGATAGAGTGTTAACTAGAATTCATCTGCCTCACAGGGACGGGGAGGGGTGGGGGGTGGGGTTTTATTGGGGTTCTTCATGGTAAAAAATAAGTATTGGTAAAGGGAAATGTGTTTGATATTTGCATGACTGAGACATAAACCTGAAAGCTTTGTAACCTTTCCCACAGTGATTCAATAAATAAATAAATAAATAAATAAATAAGAAGAAACGTTACAGAAATTTGGAGACTTCTTACAACATTCACTAGCAATTCTTCAGTCAAAAGGTTTGTTGAAAATTAATTAAATGACCTTGCATGTTAAGTATAAAGTATTTTCTGATGTCTGGTATATAAAGTCAATGGCTGATTATTATATTTCAAACAGACTAATAATAATAAAAGAGTCCCTATGTTAGATACTGTGGAGGTTCAGGGGATAATAGGATGATAAATCTAATGTTTAATGTGAAGTGTAGAAGAAAGATCTACATATAAGTAATGATCTGCCTAAGGTAACATTAAACTAGTGATGAAAGTTGCAAGCAGAGTGCTATAGGAGTGTTGGATGAAAGAGGACTATAGTAATTGGGAATCTGAAAGAAAATTTTACTGAAGAAATGAAATTTAATCTGAGTATTTAAAGTTGTCAAGATTACAGGTTTTAGTATTTGATATAAACCTCCCCCTTGGTTTATGGACCACCCAGTGGTGCTTAGAACTGATTCCTGGCTCTGTGCTCAGGAATCACTCCTGGTGGGGCTCGGGGGTGCTGGGGATTGAACCCAGATTGGTCACATGCAAAGCAAGTTCCCTATCTGCTGTACTATCACTCCATCCTCAGGTTTGAATTTTTTTTTCTTTTTGGGTCATACCCAGCGATGCTCAGGGGTTACCCCTGGCTCTGCACTCAGGAATTAGTCCTGGCGGTGCTTGGGAGACCGTATGGGATGCCAGGGATCAAACCGGGTTCAGCTGCATGCAAGGCAAATGCCCTACCCATTTTATTATCGCTCAGGCCCCAGGTTTGAAATTCTTAAGGAATAATTTCAGATCTTTGAAGTTTGAAAATTATTACAAGAATTAGTGTCTATATTTTTTTCACAGCAAAGAAGATAATTGAAACAATGAGTTCTTCAAAGCCCTCAACTGTAGAAGCAAGTAAAGAAAATGAGTCTCGACCGAAACGGAAATTGCACACACAAGAAATTAAATCTCCTGTTGATATATCTGTCCAAGTGGTAAGCTGCTATTTCAGTTTCCTTAAATTTTCTAAAGTTTTGATAACAATTTAAAGTATAAATGGATTGAATTTCTATTCTCTCTAAATCAGATCTCTTAAAATACATGTTTTAAGAATAATATTTGTTATGTGGGGCTGGAGCAATAGCACAGCTGGTAGGGCGTTTGCCTTGCACTCGGCCGATCCAGGTTCAATTCCTCCACCCCTCTCGAAGAGCCCGGCAAGCCACCGAGCGTATCTCGCTCGCACGGCAAAGCTTGGCAAGCTACCCGTGATATATTCGATATGCCAAACACAGTAACAAGTGTCACAATGGAGACGTTACTGGGCCCACTCAAACAAATCAATGAACAACGGGAGGACAGTGACAGTGACAGTAACTTCTTATGTGATATATACTAAATATGGGCTGAAGAGATAGTACAGCAGGTAAGACACTCGTCTTGCATGCAGCCAACTTGGGTTCAATTCCCAGGCCACATAAGGTCTCCTGAGCCCCTCCAGGAGGAATCCCTGAGTACATGGCTAAAAGTAACCCCTGAGTTACTTTGTTTTTTATTGCTCCCTGGGCTGGAGCAATAGCACAGCGGGTAGGGCGTTTGCCTTGCACGCGGCCGACCCGGGGTCAATTCCCAGCTTCCCATATGGTCCCCCAAGCACCACCAGGAGTGATTCCAGAGTTCAAAGCCAGGAGTAACCCCTGAGCATCACCGGGTGTGACCCAAAAGAAAGTAATAAATAAAAATAACCCCTGAGCATAGCCAGGTATGGCCGAAAAACAAACAAAAAATTCATACACACGCACACACACACACAGTCTATATAAATGCTGCATCAATATACACAAGTGTTCTACATTTACATTTGTAAAATCATGGAGAATTTTAATTCCATCCAGAGTTGTTACTGGTAATTTATTTGCTTCCAGAGTTATTTTTCTTGCTATCTTTATCACAAAAGTTATACAAATCTGGGCCAATGTGTGCCTGTTAAAAATGGAGAATTGACGTTATTTCCTCCCACCTTTTCTTTAAACATCAATCCACATTCCATTAAGAAAAGACTGTAGTTTATCACCCTAATACTTATGACTCATTCTCCTCACTCAGAACAGGTTGTGCTATTGCAGGGAAAGATCTCATTTTCTCGCATGTAAAAATGTACTTTGAAGAAAAGCCTTCAACAGAAAATGGCAAAGAAAAATCAGGGGAGAGGCATTCGCAATATTACCTATCAGATAAAAGATAGACATTGGGGGGTGGTGGGGGGGCGTTGTTTGTTTTAGGCCACATCCAGCAATGCTAAGGGATTACTCCTGGCTCTGCACACAAGAATTACTCCTGACAGAGCTTGGAGGACCATATGGGATGCCAGGGGTTGCCTCTGGTCAGTGTGTGCAGGACAAGCACCCTACCTGCTGTGCTATCCCTCTGGCCCCATGAAAATTATTTTTAATTGCAACATAATAATTAATCTTTCTACTTTCTAAGTTATATGCTTGTTGCTATAAAAGATCATAGCAGTAAAAGAGTCTTTTGCAAAATCTTTACAGGCACGATTTTCTATAAAGTGAGTATATCTGGAACTAGAGTGATGTTACAGTGAGCAGGGCACTTGCCTTACATACAGCTAATCTGTATTCAATACCCAGCAGTCCCTATCACTGCCAAGAGTGAACCCTAAGTTCACCACAAGGTGTGACCCCCAAAATACAAAAAAATGATAATATACCTGCAGTTTAAGAGAAAAAAAGATCTCATACTGTACCTACTTTTCCATTGTTAAGCTCATGAACATCTCAGTCATTATATCTTTTAATTCATTTTTCATTTTTTTAATTGTGAAATTGTTTATTTTAGATTGTGATGAACCAGAAAGTGATCGTGAGATTCTTAAGCGATGACTTCGAGCTAAAATAGCCAAATAAATCACCTATGAAAAGTCTTTTAATATAAGTACTATATTCATAATAATTGTAACTTCCATTTTGCCTTTCAAAGCTTGTTGTATATAAATACATATGTGTATATATATGTGTGTATATGTGATGCATTAAATTCCCATTTGTATACATTGCTATTTTATAGTAGAAATAATTGAATAAAGAAAACAAATCAACAGTAAATTTACTTGTCTGTATTTTCCTTTTATCCCAGTCTTATAATCAGCGAAGGTCCTGGGAAAAAATGCTTTTGTTTTTGTTTTTTTGGCTGGAGCGATAGCACAGCGGGTAGGGCGTTCGCCTTACAAGCGGCCAACATGGCCGACCTGAGTTCGATTCCTCCGCCCCTCTCGGAGAGCCCGGCAAGCTACCGAGAGTATTCGATATGCCAGACACAGTAACAACAAAGTCTCCAATGGAGACGTTACTGGGCCCGCTCGAGCAAATCGACGATCAACGGGAGGGCCTACTATTTGTAGAAATGTATTTGTTTTTTCTACTATTTGTAGATGTTATAGGTCAGCTACTTGCTTTACTTATAAGTATCTTATGAATTGTTTTTCCTGCAGCTTTCAGAAAAATACAGCCAATTTTATGTTTGTCTTATAGAAACAGTCCAGGTAGTTAGTATATACAGGAATTCCAGTAGCAGCAACTATAAAAAAGGTACACACACAAAATTTAGAGATCTATCTTTCTTATCTAATAAAGTTTGAGTTCTGGTTTTCCTAGTGCATAGAGGGAGACTTGGAGGCACGTTAGAAATAATATTTTCTTAATTTTGTAGATGAAAAACTAGTACTCAAAGTTTAATTATATTCTCAAGATACAATGACCTTCTGTTTTAAAAATATACAGTAGCGGGGCTGGAGCAATAGCACAGTGGATAGGGTGTTTGCCTTGCACGTGGCCAACCCGAGTTCGATTCCCAGCATCCCATATGATCCCCTGAGCACCACCAGGGGTAATTCCTGAGCGCAGAGCCAGGAGTAACCCCTGTGCATTGCCGGTGTGACCCAAAAAGCAAAAAATAAAAACAATTTAAAAATAAAAATATACAATAAGAGGGGGAGGAGGTTAAAAATAGTTAAAAGCATGAGTAGTATGTTACAGAGCAACATAGTGGCTACCAAATAACTCATAAATGTGCAACAATAAGGCTGTGCACCAGAATCATCTGTGATGTTTTTAGTTGTTTTATGGGGTTTTGGTTTTGGTTTTTGAGCCACACGTTGGCACTGTATGTGCCAGGAATCCAGCCTAGGGCTCCTGTAGGCAAAGCAAGTCCTCCAGTTCATGCTATCTCCCTGACCCTGTGTTACTTTTTATTAATTTATGTTCTCAAGCCCCCAACCCAACCCCCAGACCTTCTTTTTTTTCCTTTTTGGGTCACACCTGGCAATGCTCAGGGGTTACTCCTGACTTTGTGATCAGGAATTACTCCTGCCAGTGCTCAGGGGACCATATGGGATGCTGGGAATCGAACTGGGTTAGCCGCGTGCAAGGCAAACGCCCTACCTGCTGTGCTATCGTTCCAGCCCCACCCCCAGACCTTCTTAAAGAATTTCACTTCCTCTTAATTCCTCTTATCTTTTTGCTCCAAAATTTTGTGGGGCTGGAAAATTAGTACAGTGGGTAGGATGCTTGCCTTGCATGGGGCTGATTCAAGTTCAATCTCTAGCACCCAATATAGTTCCCCAAACACCGCCAGGATTGATGATCCCTGAGCACAGAGACAGCAGTAAGCCTCAGATATCATCAGCAACCCAGAAACAATCAACAGTAGCAATCAATAAAAAAAATAGATTAGAAACAATCAGTAATGGCAGAGATGTGAAAAAGGAGCCTCATCCACTGTTGGTGGAACTGTCATCTGTTTCATGCTCTATGAAAAACAGTGCAAAAAATTATCAAAAATAAAGAACAAAACTTCCATATGATCCAGTAATTCCACTTCTTAGCGTTGACCCCAAGAGCGCAAAAATACTTATTTAAAAAGACTTTTGCAGGGGCCAGAGACATATACAAGCGGGTAAGGCACTTGCCTGTGCGCAGCTGACACAGGATTGATCCTCAGCAGCTCAGATAATCCCCTGAGAAACATCTAAGTGCAGAGCCAGGGGCAATCCCTGAGCAATGCTGGGTGTGTGGGTATGGCGACACAACAGCAACATAAAAATTGTTGCATAGGGGCTGGAGCAATAGCACAGCGGGTAGGGCGTTTGCTATGCACGCGGCTGACCCAGATTCAATTCCCAGCATCCCATATGGTCTCCTGAGCACCGCCAGGGGTAATTCCTGAGTGCAGAGCCAGGAGTGGCTCCTGTGCATCGCTGGGTGTGACCGAAAAAAAAGGCCAAAAAAAAAAGTGAGACCCAAGGGGCTGGAGAGATAGTATAGCAAAGCAGGTAGGACATTTGCCTTGTATGTGGCCAACCATGGTTCAATCCCTGGCACCCTTTATGGTCCCCTGAGCCTGCCAAAGTTTGTGTCATTTCTAAGTTTGCTTTTCAGTTTAATTCTTACGCTACATATTCTGTGTATTTGTTTTGGTTTTGGCTTTATTTGGGGGCCCAACTGCAATGCTCCTAATTGTGCTGAAGGATCACTCCTGGGAGTGCTAGCGGCCTATGGTGTGCTGAGTATTGGACCCATTTGCCAGCTTACAGGGTTGCTGCCTTACTCCTCCTACTGTTGCATTTGTTCGTCAAGTTCAAATTCTTTGTTTTGCATTGATTTGGCTTTGGGGTTTCACCTGCCAGATCTCAGATTATTCCTGGCTGTGTATTAAGTTATTCACGCTGCAGTCTGGGACCATGTGTGCTGCTGAGGATCAAACCTGTATGTGTGTGCACTGTCTGTGTCCTACCGCTGTGATGTCTCTCCTACCATTGTTCATTTATTTCTTAGGGTCTCACCTCATCAGACACTGCTCTATTTGAGTGCTTGGGATCAAGGGTTCTTGGTTCATCAAGCCTCAGGGTTTTCCTCTGGAATATGCAGGAGGTATCAGAGCTCACGTCTTGAGGGACCCCTCTAGATACTCTCTCATGGAATGATCCTGTGTTTTACTTTCTTGGTTTGACATTATTTTTCCGCATCTGCCAGTACATGACATTCATGCTCCTTGTTCCCAGAGCATCACTGAGATTCTTCAAAAAACAAAACCCAAAAAACTGTTGTAGGATTTCCAACTTCTCACAGTGATCCTCCCAAGGGATCTTTCCTTTGCTCTGGGATGCTTTGGGCTATGACAACCGTAGAGTTGTCCTCCACCTGCACTGCCTCATTCAAGGATGTTCCATTGGACATATTCTTACATTGGGTATTGTGTTTGGTTTCAGAACTCAAAACATGGCTTCAAGATTTGGTCTTTCAGCAATTTGCTTTAGGGACACAGTTACTGAGTATGAGTGAGCTGGTAAGATTTGCAAGTTTGAAATCAATATTATTATTCCAGTGAAGAAGGTCAGTGGACCAGCATGTTATTTTTAAGTTGCAGGCTGGCCATGGCCGGGAAGAAATCCAGAATCTAATTCTTCGGGGTAGAGGACCTTTAATGTGTATTCAAAAAATAAGTACGTATACCACGGCACCTCTCACCACCTGTGTTCAGTGGTCTCACACTGCTTTCCCCACCCTGAATGGCCACTGGCCCTGGGTTCACAAAGGAGAAAACAAGGGCCGGGCTGGTTGGTATCAGTTACAGTTTATCCCAATTTCATCTCCATTCACTTTTGATTTTCCACTATTCTCTCTCTTTTCTCCTTTATCCTCCTCTCCTGATTCTCCTGGATTCCTCCTGGATTCTTTCTTCCCTACTTCCCATGATACTCTTCTCCATTCTCTCTTATCCAGTATCCTTGTATTCTCCTTCTAACATTCTCCTTGGTTCTTTCCCCTCGCCCACTCTTCCAGCCTCCTCCTCTTGATTCTTCCTCCTGTATTCTCCCCTGTTCTTTGCTCGGATTCCTCCCTGATCCCTCCTTCAACCTGCCCCCTGCCCACTGTTGCAGCCTTAGTTATATCCCAAGTCATAACCCTTGGAAGCATCATAAAATTCATACTACATAACTCGATTCCCTAATAAGAGTTTACAGTGTCAAAACAGGCCCCCTTGGTAAAACCTGTTTTGTTTGTACCAGAGTGTTAGGTGTGCTTCAGAAGTACAGCCAGGAAGGAAACGATCCTGGTAGTGTATGACAAGTTCCTGTGATGTCAGTCAATAAAGGAAAGTCTATGTGAGTGTCCAGATATTTGGATATCACGCGTAGGTTAACTTGTAGTTTCTGGATCTTCTGGTGAAAGCCAGGAAGAATGTGGATAAATAAAAAGCAAAAGAGATGCTCCTCGCTCAGGGCTGCCAAGGCTCTCCACTGTCCCATTGTTTGCTCTGACTCGGACTTGACTATTTTTTTTTCTTTTTGGTCACACCCAGACATGCTTAGGTGTTACTCCCGCCTCCTCAGGAATTACTCCTACCTTGGGGACCATAGTAGAAGGTGGGATTGAACCCAGGCCTGGCCTCGTACAAGGCAAAAACCGTCCCTGCTGGACTATCTCTCCAGCCCCTGTGGCTTGGCTTAGAGGCCCTGGGCTTTGGGGAATTATGGCAGAGAAACAGACATACCATCTTTTTTCAATTCCTCCTGAATCATGTTCTGTCTGGGGAGCCACAACCAGCTGAGCACACTCCTAGCTCTAAGGAGTTTAGGTATCTCTACCTCAGGATCCTTATGGGGTACCTTATAGAATCCAGGTCTGTCGTGTGTGACCAGCTCCTTCCCTCCTGTGTCATCTCTGCCTCCCTTGTTTCAGGTACTGATTAGCGTTGTGGAAGTATAAAGGATAAGTATTTTTTATACTCATCTTAGCAAAATGGCACTGGCAAGGTTCTTTATTGGCATGAAATGAAGAGTTATTTTAATTTTTAAACTTTTTTTCGTTATTTTGGGTCACACCGAGACATGCTGAGAG